ATTTGTAGTTCTATCACAGGAACCAAAATATCTTGGATCAACTGTGATTGGGAGTGAGCTTGGCTGTGAAAAAAAAAACAGCTAAAGAACGCAACACAGGATGATGATGATGATGATGATGATGATGATGATGATGATGATGATGATGATGATGATGATGATGTTGATGATGATGATGATGATGAATAGTTTGGCTTTCTTCAGGTCCTATGCATCATGTGTCTGTGTGTGGTAGGGAGCTATTTGTAGTTCTATCACAGGAACCAAAATATCTTGGATCAACTGTGATTGGGAGTGAGCTTGGCTGTGAAAAAAACAGCTAAAGGACCGGACTTCATGGGTTGAGAGATTTTCATCATTACTGTACACATCCTTTTTGTCATTTGTATTTTAATCCTGCATGACACACAAATGGGGTAGAAACTGACCCGAGCAGAAAGATATGGTTTGCCAATATTTTGCACGTCTGGAGTCTATGAGCTAGGTGCAGAGTCATTTGGCATCATCACATGGTTTCAGTGAACAACAAATGAGAGGCTTTTCCAAAGCAGTATTTCCGGGAAGTTAACTAGTTGTAATCATGGTATCTGTAATTAGCTTATGAGGAGATAAGAGCCTAGATATAGAAGCCTTCTATTGGAGTCAATCTTATAAGTAAATTAAAATAAACTGCCCTTCTTGGTATGAAACATATATATGCAGACCTCAGTGTATTAAAGTGGAGCTCCTTGCCCTCAACCCCCAGTTGGCTGTACATAGGCCTATATCTCAGGAAAATGTTCCTAATCTACCTAATGGCTCTGGCTGAAAGGATGGCCAAGGAAGGAATTTTCTATGAGTGCTCAGCAAAAATTGCTGACCTTGAACGTGAAAGGATGGCCAAGGAAGGAATTTTCTACGAGTGCTCAGCAGTGCTCAGCAAAAGTTGCTGACCTTGAACAGATGTTCCCTGCTTTTGTTTACATCCTCAGACTGGTAAAAATATTTGATTATTTAGTGCACGGGAATAAATGGCCTGAGGATTTTGGCAGTCAGCTCACACGCTGGAGGAACAGGTGGCTAGCAACCTCCAATTACAGTATTTGAAATTCTGAGGATTCCTTTCTTCCCCACCTCTCTTCAGGATAACGTACTCTGTGCTCTCAGGATCCATTAGACGGGAGTCTGGGCATTCAAGAGGGTTGCATGCTATTTACAAAATACTCGTATAATTATTTGAAGACTGACAAGGAAGCAGTGGTAGATGAACCATTTCTGGATCTAAATTGACTTCTATTATAGAAGATGATGTGGTTGTCATAAGTACCAAAGTTTCCATAGGGAAATGATGGACAAGTCCCACAGTGCCATTACCCCGATCTTCAAGACAACTGCATGAGGCTGCTAATCTGCATCCCTACCCCATTATGCAGATTAGCAGCCTCATGCAGTTGTCTTGAAGATCAACACAGAACAACACAGTATTCTTGACTGGATCGCATGAATCAGCTTGCTTGGCTCTAACTTAACAACACAAGAAGAGCCCTACTGGATCAGACCAAAGGGCTACATACCTGCCTTCCCTGAACCTTTCTTGACCTAAGAAAAAAAGAAACAAAATATCCCCCTCTAGTGGTCGAAGACGGAATAGCAGCTTCCCATTAGTTTCTATGGACGGAAAAGAACAGATACGGATCAAATGGTTTTCAATGCATTCCTATGGGAAATGCAGATTTGACCTGAGAACTTTTTGACTTGAGAACCGCCTTCCAATACGGATTAAGTTCTCAAGTCAAGACCCCACTGTATAGCTTAATGATGTCTGTGGAAACTCTGCAAGCAGGACATGAACCCAACACCTTCACTGCTGTTTCCCAGTGACTGATTTACAGAGGCATACATGCCCTGATAGTGGAGCCATTCTGACTCACAGCCACTAATATCCTCATCACCCCATCCTTCATTCATGCCTCTCCTTTCCCTTTAAATCCTTCCAAGATGGTTGCCATCACAATATATTGTGGCAGTGAATCCCACAGTTTAATGGGGGCAATATATGAAGAAGTCCTGATGTCTGCCATAACGAAGGCAATCTCTCTCCAAAAGCCAGCCCTGGGCTTGTTCATGAAACATAACAGTGGCAGGTTGGAGAAGCTACAACAGCAAGTAGGATGAGTATGAAACTGAGAGATGGAGAGGAGGTGGAGAGGAGCCTCTTGAACTGCGGAGTGGCCGATGCAAGGCAGAAGTATAGAAGGTGACAATGAGGAAAAGGCAGTGAGAGGCACAGAAGGGGTAGAATCCCCCTGTCCTCCATATTCACCAGCAATATTGTATTCCACTTATAGCCACACCCTTTCTTCAAGAAGGTCATAGCAGCATACAGAGACTTCCTCCTCCTTATAATAACCCTTTGAGGGAGGTTAGGTTGAAAAGGAGTGACCCGTTGAAGACCACTCAGCTATAGAGGCTTCCCTGTATTCTGTCTGTCTGAGGAATTTTTGCACAATTGTCCGGGAGTTTAAAATTTAAATTGGCATATGTCAAGTTTGTGAGGTAGGCAAGCTGGGTCTTTATTTATAATTTAAAGTCATAGTTTCATCCTTTTAAGATAAATTTGGCCATCGTTGCTCATATACCAGAGATTTCTACTGGCCTTCCTCATTCTATAAGTTTTGAAAACCATCTCACAGTTCTTTGTGACTTTTATTTGAATTTCCTCTGTGTTCTCTCCCTCTCCATACACTTAAAACTGCAAAGGTGATTGCCAGTTCCATTAATCTCCTTTCACATCCACAAGGACTCTCAAAACATAACATCCATTATTGTTCAGGTGCTAAATTTTCTAGTGTGTTAAGTAGGTCACTGCTTTAATCATAACTCAGGGAAAACACACATACATACTTGTTGGTTTCAAGCAAAGCAGTTCAGCGGAATTAGCAAAAGCATCCCAGATCCCCTTCTGAAGCTAAGCCAGAAATAGTGGATGTTAATTCCATTTCTATCCTAATCCTTCCTCTGCTTGTCTAACTGTTTTGTACTCATAAGTCATAACATATCCACTTCCAATGGCATGTTTTCTTGTTTGCTGTGCCCAAATGCAGAATCGGCTATAGACTTCGAAATGCAAACACAATTTAAGAAACAACGTTAACGTTAATGTTAATCTTACCAAATGCTGGTAAACACTGGAACTTAACTGTAGCCCCTCCCTGCCCTGTACTGCATTGCATGGAGGGGTCGATGAGGCTTGGAGAGTGAGTAGGAGCCAACAGAAAGAGAAATGTGAGATCACGGGAAGTTTTACCGTAATTGACAAGAATTAAGAATAAAGAGTAGAGAAATCTCTGGAAGAAGGGATAAAAATAATTTGGGACATTTGTTCTTGAATACATTCTGGGTTACATTATTCTCTTCTTGCAACCAACAGGATTTTATTATAAGATCATTTGACTGAATTGGTACACATACTTCATATGTTTTCATACTGTAACACATGGGTGGACAAAGTTTAGCCTGAGGGATGTATGCAGTCCCCCAGGGGCCCAAATGAAGGCCTCATTTTAAAAAGAAATCTTAAAAATGCCCCCAAAATGTTTGGCCCCATGAGTAAAAGTAAGTAATAAATATTGTCATTGTAAAGAAAAACAGAAGGCAAGAGGAAAAGGGGACGACAGAGGATGAGATGGTTGGACAGTGTCATTGAAGCTACCAACATGAATTTGACACAACTCCGGGAGGCAGTGGAAGATAGGAGGGCCTGGCATGCTCTGGTCCATGGGGTCACGAAGAGTCGGACACGACTAAGCGACTAAACAACGACGACGAAAGAAAAACAACAACAGTATTACCAGTCATCATATCACTTTCAATAGCAATGTTTTTCATTCCTTGTTATGTGAAAGCATTACCTCCAAACACTCCATTTCCCCATTTTTCTGTATTGATTAAATCTTGAAAATGATCTCAAACTCTGCATAGATGTTGTTAATAAATCTGTTAACGTAGCAGAGTTAGGTCTATTTCCCTAGCAAACCTTTACAAAAAGAGGTTTACAGCACCTTTCTTTTCCAGTGCCAAAAGAAGAGGAAATGGAGGACGGGGTATAAGGAGTCAATGTATAATTAAACCACAGTACCAGGATACAACATGCCCCTATAGAGCAGGAAGTTCCTACAAAGAAAACAGCAGCACAATTGGTGAAGGGCAAGGTTAGGATTTATCTCACAGTGGTACCACCTTCTCAGTTTCCAAGGAGTGCCTTGAAAATCTGCCTCGTGTGGTTGCTGAGTAGGCAAGCTATCTTCCACATGTTTTGGATTGTTTTTCTTATAGACTGGCTATTTAAATTATTTTGTTAACTGATTATTGCAATGATTTAAATAGTTATGTTTATTTATTTATTTTTAGTCAAGTTTATTTGCAATGCTGAGTGCTTGGTTTTTTAAACAAAAAGATAGGATTAAAGTAGAATCACTCAGTCTCTCCTCTGTCAACTTCAGCATGGCCAGTGGTCATGTGTAGTGGGCAATGTAGTCAAAACATCTGGAAGGCACCAAGTCGTTTTCCTCAATTTTGGCCCTGAATTCTGACATCTTGACATACCTGTCAAATTTACATTGTCTTTCCGACAAATTACTGTTTAAAAGTACAGTTTAACCCCCCCCCCCATGATAACTTTATTAGAAAACAAAGTCAACTGCAGTAACAGAAGGTAGTGGAGTAAAACCAGCAAAAAACACATTTGAGAAGAAGATTTTAAAAAAACCACCAGACTATAATCTGAAATACTCAATGCATTAAGAAAAAGAAATGAAGGACTTCACTTAGCACCTAAATGCTAGATCCTCTTGCAGAGTAGCAGTCTTTTCTAGATAAAATGGCCTAAGACCATTTTAGATAAAACTGGCCTAGGACATAATGCAATCATGAGTACTGATTTCACAATCATAACCCAGCTTTGAAACATTTGAACTGTTGTTAATTGCCTGTCATTTTCTCCCACAGGACTCTTGCTTGCCATGGAAACTAACAGTCACCAGTTCCATGCCCATTCTCATCAGGAAACCTTAAACTCAGTCTCTCGCAATACTCTGGGTTTAAATTACCAGCCTCTCTCTAAGAGCTCCTCCAGTCTGGCAAGCATTGGTCGAATGGGCTCTCGGGAAGAACAGAACAGCAAATATGAACTCCGGAAAAGCCTCAGTAGTTCTGCCTGTAAAGCCCAGGCAAGGGAGAGTGATGTTGGAAGCACCCCTAGTTTTGGATCGTCTTCAACTCATTCAGAAATTGCCTCTACAATCCGAACTGTGAGCAGCTTGTCACCAACACAGAGTACTTCCAAAAGCACTAACCACTTCCTGTACATGGACCAGTCCCCGGCAGAAGGGACGGGCGCTAGAACGCCTGTCAAGAGCAGCACCACTGAGAATGTGTCTTCAGCCTTTGGGGCTGATCTGAAACATGGGAGCACAAGAGAAGAACTGGAAGCCGCAGTTCAGAGAAGCCTTTCTGACCTGACATGTAGCTGTAAGCAACACAGTTCTGCTTCTCATTTGGAGACAAGTGCCACATACTCTCCTATGAGTTCCAACAGTGGTTATGGCACTTCTACAGGCAATATAATTTTTCCAAGAATGAGATATGGATCAGACTCCTGTGAAAATGACCTGGATTTTCCAAGCCATGTGAGTCAAATCCCAAGTTCGCCTAGAGACCCAAATGTGCCCACTAATGTTTTTAATGATGGTACTTTAGCACACAATGTTACCGTTTTTACAGATCCTGGGGTATATCAGCCAGCTGTTCTTGCATCCCATATGCCTGGGAATAATTTCTCACATAGGGCTATGTATGCTCAAGGTGGAATTGTGTACAGTAACATGTCACATGCCATGTATCCATCTGGCATGATGGCTGTTCATAACAATACTGCCTTCCCTTACAACATGAGGCACCAGTCTCCTATGAAGGCAGAAGGCACCATTCCAGCTTACTGCCATTCCTTTCCAATACCTTCTGTCCAGTTCATCCCAAGGTTGGTGTGCTCAGTTAGTGAATCAGGGAAAGTACAAGTCCATCCTGAGTATTGTCCATCTTTGCCTTCTACAGAAACAGTAACCCTTCCAAAGCTGGTGTCTTCTGTGAGTGAGTCAGGTCTGGATGCAAAACACATAATGAGATGCTGCAATGTACGTGGTGGACACATGTTGCATGCTCACCCATATGTACAAACAAGAAGGGCTGAAGATGAAATGAAGACCACATACCCAGTCCTGAATAGGCACCAAGATGGCATTCATACTGTCATGAAGACTAAGGACACATGGACTATGACCTCCATGAATGACATCACTCAGGGACTGCCGCCTCTGTTTGAGTGCAAAGACGCAGAGGTACAAACCCTTCCAACAAAAGAGTATAAGTCTGCAGCCACAAGCCCTTTTGTTGTGGCAGAAGGCCACCCTCATGTCTTTCCAGAGGTTAATCTGGAACCAGAAGCAGAAGGTGAAAAGTCTCCAATACGGGAGGTGAGGTGGGATGATGAAGGCATGACATGGGAAGTCTATGGTGCCGCTGTTGATCCTGAGGTTCTTGGGATGGCCATTCAGAAGCATCTTGAGATCCAGATAGAACAGTTCCAGGCGGAACCAGGAGAGACCTCCAGAAAAAGTCCAGATGAACTGTCAGCTAAACAGGGAAGGAAAACATATTTTAGAACAATGATGCACTGTCTACATCCAAGCTGTTGTGCCCGTTCTAGCACAGCAATGGAATAAACTGTCCCAGGAGACGCCAGGGCCCACTGGAAAAAACATAAACAAACTCCCAAAGAGCTGCATATAAACACTACACCTTAGAGGTGGTACAGGAGATGGAGTCCCTTTGGGACTTAATTGGAGATTTTGAGCAGGTCTAAAACAGAGCTCTACATGGTACGGACTCTAGGGAGGACCTTGATACCTATCTCAGAGCTGACCTACATACTGCTGAGAATTAGGTGGTCAAATTCTGGATCATTTCACTTCACATGCTGGATGGGATGGGGACCTTTCTCTATCTTTAATAATATAATGGCTATCCACATACAGATCTCCCCACATGAAATAAAGTAGCACATGACAGGAAGACTGGTGCTAAGCTTTCTATTTAACATGGAAAATCACTACATTTAGGAAGCGTGTGTATTTTTAGTGTTGTTAGTGGGAGGGAATTCATTATACATCACCTTCCTCTAGGGATGAAATGATTGTTTCCCTACCTACCGGCATAGTTAGTTGGCCTTCAGGAAGTGTTATAAGGTACACCTGTTCCATCTGGCTTTTAGATCGTCTGGTTGATTTTTGTAGGATTCTTTTTGGTTCTGCTAGACTGCTATTCATATTGTCAGTATTTTACTGTACGAATTTTAATTATTATATACATAATTTTGAACTGTGGGAAGGCAGCTAACTAATAAATGAAATGTATTTGTTATAACCAACAAAATAAACAGACAGAATACTATTCTGCCCAAATAAATAGTCCAGAATTGTATAAATTCTCCACTTAGTCTCGCCTGGAGCAGTCTAAAATTGCACCACTACCTCAGTTTGAGTAACATGTAGACTTGATCTCAGAAAGCAAGGATGATAACTTAAAAACTAAACTAAATTAAAGCACGGTAGTATTCTAACCTTGTTGTCTAGCTTTGAATAATAAATACTTCCAGAAAAGTTTTATTTTATTTTATTTTTTAAACCAAGGGCTTGGGGCATATCATTGCCCTCTATATGTTTATAGATTATAAAAAACCCTGTTATTAAAAATAGAAAAATGGATTAATTTATCTTCTCGTGTTAAGTTTTGGTCCAAGATTTTGTTCCACTCTTATGTTCCTTATGTAGTTTTAAATATTAGAGTCTAATTGCATATTATACTTTCACACAGAAACAAATGTGATTTATGAAAAAAGCATAATATGAAAATACATTCCTTATTAGTAGATAATTTGTTGAATTATCCTGCTGTGTACTATAAATCTCTCTTTCCTCTAGACCAGATGCATTGCAAATCATTATGTGCTTTTATGAACATGGCATTTTTGGCAAAATATTGCCAGCAGGTTTTTTTTTCCGCCATGAGGAATTACATTCAGAATTCTCTGAGGGAGTTGTTTATGCTGTTGCCAAGACACAAATATATAGTGTTACTGGAGATGCTTACATGAGCCATGAATGCCTGTTTTTGACTATGAATGTTTAATCTTGGGCTAGTTTACCATTCTGCTATACAGCAATTACTGGGGACATTTGTTTTTTGAACTAATGTGAACTACACAAAAATAAGCAAAAATGGTGAGGAGTGGCATTAAGACAAGTTCAGTGTCTTTCTAAGAACAATAAAAACAGATTGCTTTTGCAAATGGATTAAAGCTTAGTGAATTTTAAGATGGGAGTCCTTCAATGCATATTAGCTGGTTTTGCATGGAATGCTAAACTGGGGTGGGCAGGTGAGGGGATGGGGCCTGCTGCCCTTTTGATATCGTCAGATTCTAACCCCCATCAGCTCTAGGTGGCATGGGCAGTGGTTTGAGCCCAGCAAAATCTGGATATTTGGTCTCGTAAAGATGTGAGGGAAATATCTGGGAACTTTTTTTATAAAAACACATACACTTTTGACAAACAAAATGGTGTTTACTATTAATTATGGTTTACTCAAAACAATCCACTTTAAATAATGAGTTATTAAACTAATTTGTATTAGCTAATCATAATAATAATGAATCATGGTTTATAACCCAGACATGATGCTAAACAGTGGTTAATCAAAACTGAGCTGGAACAGGAAGCTGGGGGAGGGGAGCCCAAAGCTCAGACAGGATCAACCAGCTTGCCGCATATGAGGCAATGCAGTGATTAACCAAACTAACATATGCTGGCTTTAAAACAACAGTGATCCTGGAAGTAAAGGGGAAAGACTGTTTCTTTGGTATTTAAAAATGCTAACGATGGCCTTTAAAAAGGGAATTAGAAAAGATCCTCAAGTGCAAGGACATGACACTAGAAAGCAAGGCAAAGATAATCGACATTAGTTTACTTGCAATCACTGTGTGTGGATGTGAAAGCTGGATAGTGAAGAAAGCGGGGGGGGGGAGAATTCATTTGAAATGTAGCATTGTAGGAGAGCTTTGCAGATACCATGGGCCGCCAGAAAGACAAATAAGTGGGTGCTTGATCAAATCCAGACTAAACTTTCTGTAGAAAGAAAAAAACATTTAAACTGAGGCTATCATGTTTTGGGCACATCATGGGAAGACAAGATGAAAAAAAACCAATAATGCTGGGAAAAGTTGAAGGTAGCAGGAACACAGGAGGACCAAAAGTGGGATTGATTCAACAAAGAAGCCATGACCTTGAGTTTGCAAGGCCTGAGTGAATGACAGGATCTTTTCAAGGTCACTAATTCATAGGGTCACCTATGAAGCAACCTGAAGGCATGCAGCAACAACACACAGGGTATTCCCAGAGGCAGAGTCTTCCATGTATAATTTTATACATCTCTACCCCTCTTGTCTGCCTTTCTCCCAAGCTAAAAAGAACCAACCACTGCCATGTTTCCTCAGAAGGAAATATATTAAGTCCCTGTGAGCATTTCGTCCTAGAGTACAGTTGATGCATCAATAGGTAAGTGCCACTACCAGTGTTGGATTCCAACTAGATGGATAGCATGGAGGCCGATGGGTAAGTAGTGAGGTGAAGAGCAAGATGGAGTAGAAATGTATTCGCGAAGGCTTTCGCGGCCGGGTTCTAATGGTTGTTGTGGGTTTTTCGGGCTCTTTGGCCAGAGTGCTGTCCTCTGAAGATGCCGGCCACAGAAACGTTAGGAAGAACAACCTTCAGAACACGGCCAAAGAGCCCGGAAAACCCACAACAACCAATGGAGTAGGACGTTATGGGATTAGTGGCAGAAACTGGTGTAACAAGGGCTATTAGGTTGGCAGCTTTCCACTCCCTGAGATTTTAGGAAACAAAACAACTGGGACCAAGGGTAGACCCTTGTTATGTCACACAAGGTGTCACTTCTATAACAACTGCAAAATAGTAGCTGGAATCCTGTTTAGTATAGTAAGTCACAACTAGAGTAGGCCCATTGATTTGGCAACTTACAGAGGAATTGATTCACTCAATCGCCACTGATTGAAAGGGCTTATTCAATTTATTTCAATTTATTACAATTTGCAATAGGATTTCAGCCAGTATTTCAGTGTGAGAGACAATCAGTGTGGATTTCCTGTTGTACACAGAAACGGACACGTTCACATTCAGCCAGTGAGCCTAGATATGAGTAGGAATGAGATGGGAACCCAGCCATTAAAGCCACTGCAAAAATTAAAGTCGGATTTTCTCCTCCTTCAGCACTATTCATCTGAGGTTTAACAAAATTAAAGGGGGAAAAGCGGGGATGCAAAAGGCAGTTTTGTGGCACTTTAACAGATTTGTTTCAATGTGAGCTTTAATGGATCAGAAGGCCTAAGGGGTGCAAAGATGATGTCCTTTTACATGTATACATATTCTCATGGCTCCTTAACACAAAAATGGGACTATCGAAATGTTAGTTGCTTGGGACTACAGCTCCTAGCAAGGTGATAAAGTGTCTGTGAGGCAGATCTGGCTGCCACAGAAATGCCAACTGTTGTTTTTGGAACAGAGGTCAGAGTCTGTCAAGGGACCCAACTATTTGGTACCTCTATTACAGAAAGCTTGGTTATTTATATATGAAGTTAAGTAAGAAGCCTTGACCTCTACACAAACCCTTAGAAATGAATGGAACTTATTTATGTAACCAGGTTTTGCCGGCTCCCTCTTGATTCTCCTTTGTGATTCTGTTTTTCTATAACAGCCACTTGGAAATACTGAACAGAATGTCCTAGGAGGTTGATGTGTTCTGAAATGGGCTTCTCTGTGTTGCTATTCCTGTTCAACAGATTTGTGCCTATTTGTTGTTTGTGGTAGAGCTTGTCTTGTTTAGCCTATGTAGAAAGGAGAGGGGCACAGCGGGCAGAAAATGGCACAAATCACTTTAGAGGCTGAACAGGTAAATGAGCCCCCGATGGTATGGCTGACATTTATAGTTCAACAGATTTGTGCCTATTTGTTGTTTTGTGTAGAGGTTGTCTTGTTTATCCTATGTAGAAAGCAGAGGGGCACAGCCAGCAGAAAATGGCACAAACAGGTAAATGAGCCCCTGATCGTGTGGCTGACATTCATAAGACTCTTGATGGTGCTGCCAGTGTAGATATTGGGGTGTAACTGGCATTTATGTTTGAGTATGAATAAATGGTTTTTCATCCATGAAAACCAACACTATAATCAACTGGTGCCACAAAATTTTGCCTTCATTCTCTTTTCTTTCCTTTTCCACCTTTAGAGTTGCCAACATGCTGAAATGGTCTAACTCAGGTACTTCTTTGGAAATAACCTAAGATTGTCTCCTTACCTAAAGTCCCAGGGAAACGCTACTCTTCCTTAAGATTTTATGCAGCTAGTTCCTTCACAGCTAACTGGATAGCTTTGTGGTTTAGGTTTGTATCTGGCTGTGGAGCTGGCGGTTTGGAGTTCCAATTCCTCATGTCTCCAAGGAGCAGAGCCAGCTTGCGTGGCCTTGGGCAAGTTGCACAGTCCCAGGGCACCACCCCCGCCCCCCAGAAGAAGGGGATGATAAATCAATTCCAGTCCCAGGGCACCCCCCCCAGAAGAAGGGGATGATACATTGATTCCGAGTACTGTATTCTCAACCTGGAAAAAAGGTTTGCCAAAAGTCAGAATTGACTTACTGTCATATGATTATAAGACATATCAATCTGGGATGTGGCAGCTTCCTTACCTGCTAGGACTGATCCTGGACCCTAAGTACTATTTCAGCAGATGCTGACTCTTCTAAATCATTATGGTGGGGGGTTTTTTGGTTTTTTTTTTCCAGAGGCAGGGAAGTATTACCATCAAGCATCGGATTTCTTCATAGTCCGCCAGCCAGACACAATTTATACAGATGGGTTGCCCTGCAGGCTAGGGGATTCTGGAAGCTGTAATCCAAAAGTAACTCCTCCAAGCAGTATCAACCCTCATCTGTGTTTTATCTGACTTCCTCGGTGGGAAGGGCAGCATACAAATATGAGAGCTGGCTAATGTGATAACTAGCTATTAGGATACATGTGTACTGTTACTTGGGTGAATATGTGTGTGCAGGCAAACCATTGACTACAGAGGATCTGAGGATTTGTACATAGAGATAAGCTGTGCGCTGTGGTGGTTAATTCTAAACCTTCTGGCATCAGGGAAGGATTTCCTCCCATTGCAACATTGCACCTACCATTGTTCCCTACAGGAGTGAATGCTAATATGTGTGTTCCTGTGTATTTATAAAGGGCAGCTTATATCCATTGCAGCTGTGCTCCAGCTTATACTACAGAACCTTTTCAAAACTGTCTGAGCATACCCTACTCCTTCCTCTGCAAATCCCAGCCGATTTCTTGGTTGTGACAGCATGTGACTAAGAATGTTCACTTTTATCAAAGGTTATCAAGTAAAGTGAAAGCTTTGATACACAGATCATTGCATAAATCTGATATGGCAGAGAAACCACACAATCCTTTCCACAACATGCCTCCATCTGCTGCACTGGTGGAGTATGAGGGGGCAAGAGATGACTCTTGCCAGATATGTGATTAACTATGATTGATTTTTGAAACGGGGTGGTAGTCAGGTACAGAACTAGAACTCCAGGTGGACTCCTCAACTCCATGATGAAGAGAGAGACTTTCTATTATACTATCTAGATACTTTGGTTCTATTTCTCAAAATCCATGTAGAGAAGGATCAGTGCAATGAAGCATTACAATCCTGAGCTGCAGCTTGTGAGTCTTCAGATGTATTAATCCTGTCTAATATGTGACCTAACCAGATGTCACCTTTGTGCTTATCAGGCTCCCGGCAGATGACACCGTATACTTCACCTTAAAGCATCCCGGAAGAAAATCTGACACTCAAGGGTAGAAATGAGGAAACCATTCCAGTGGATTTGATCACAGACAATTCCACAGGAATGAAAGAAAAAGATGGCCCTGTGACCAACTTAGGTTCACTTGGGTGGCAGCCTGTTCAGAGGCATCATGAAGCTGACATGTGCTCCACACACACCTCCAAAACAGTGTAATTTAATGAATCTGGGTCAAGAGCAGTCAGCGAATTAAACTGCCTTTGCTACTTTTTTTCCATGGAGAAGCTACTTCATGCCACCTAGTGTTTGCCGGGCGAATGGTTCAACATGAATATTCCCTAATCCACCAAAGCAGGTGTTAGTATTGTTCTATTAGAGCAAAATCCATGAGAAAAACAAGTAACACATTCTTTAAGACCAATCAGTCTTCACAATGCAATGTACAGCTTTTTAAGTTAAACTAAAATTCTCTCCTAGGCTGCATGGTAAAACAAGTCCATTAAGATCATAAGAGAAAATGCTCTATTAGTCTAAAACCTGTGGAACAGGACCAGGGATTATGCAGAACCTTACACAGACATTCTCCCAATTTGAAGAGGCCCTTGTCCAGCAGGCCGAGGCAAAGAGGAAGTCATAAAAGCAGCAAAATCAGGGAGCTGGACAGGGGACAGATTGGATTTGTCTTCAGTGTGGAAGGGATTGTCATTCTCGAGTTGGCCTCTCAGCCACATTGGATGCTGTTCCAGGTCCTCCATACAGAGTATGTTACCATAGTCTTTCGAGACTGAAGGATGCGTAATGAACACAGACATATGCTTGAATTGGTGAGCACATGAATGGCATCACTGTGAAAATGCAAAAAATTGTACTTAGGTGGGTTTTCTAGGAGCCTCATGGCACAGTGGTTAAACTGATGTACTGCAGCCAAAGCTGTGCTCACAACCTGGGGTTTAATCCCAGGTAGCTGGCTCAAGGTTGACTCGGCCTTCTATCCTTCCGAGGTCGGTGAAATGAGTACCCAGCTCGCTGGGGGGGGGGCAATGTGTAGCCTGCATAATTAACTTGTGAACCGCCCAGAGAGTGCTTGAAGCATTATGGGGCGATATATAAGCAGCACACTTTGCTTTTTCATCTCGCTGAAAACTGAAATACTAGAGGAAAACATGGCAGTCATACCTGAACAGCTACTTATAATGTGTATTAAAATTTTTGAAAATCTGCCTGAGACAGAGATGACAGAAATCAAAAAGGCAGGCATTACTTCCTGTAGCTGGAATTCTCGCTTTTTCCCCCTCCATACATCACCGTTAATCTTGGCCAGTTAGGCTTATGTAACCGTAATATCATTTATCAAATGCATTTTCATGCCACTTTTCATTCTCTTCAGAATTTCACATCAGAAATTTCACAACATTTTGCTTTCTTATTCTGTCCAATACTTTTAGAAAGCACCACTGAGGAAGTATAGACTAGTTATTTTGCATGAAATAAAATAAAGACATTGGCAGAAATCCTGTTGGGCATTACGCAAACGATACACCTTTTGGAAGCAAATTGCCACAAGTTAAGAAATTTTCAGAGGTATATTTTTTGTTGCACACTGAGTTGCAAAACTCTGCATGTAACAGATTGTGGCTATGAAGATTTCTTAATTTATGGCAGTTCACTTCCAAAGTTATGCCTTTGGCATATATGTGTAACATAATTTCAGATATTGTTTTTAAAACAGAAAAATTCCTGTCTGCAAGTAGGGTTAGAAATACTGCATTTTGCAAGATCCTGTGTATGTGCAACCAGTGGGTATATAGGCTCTGCTCTGCCCTGCACAGGTGTACTGGGCACACAGTTAACTTCCTGCCCTTTTTCAAGGTAGGAAAAAGGCCATTTCCCTTACTTTAAGTGGTGGCACATGCTGATACTGTATTTACAATAATCATCCCCCTGTGCCTTTTACCTGTGGACATTTTAAAGGTTTTTTTAAAGGCTGTGGAGAAGCCCTGTCTATCTAGAGTTACTTTTAACTCTGCTCCCACAACAACCCAATTTGTAGATATAAACAATATAACTTTCCTTTTTCCCCCCTTTTTCTTTCCTTTTCAGGCTACTTATAGAAGCAAGCCTGTAAGAGAAAGGCTACAGAAGAAAGTAGCAAACTCACCTTCATTTGTGGGAACCAAAGTTGTGACTGGACTGGGTTTTTTTATTGGTCCATTGGCAACATTTCTTTGATATGCCCCGGACATACAACCAGAGCCTGGGGACTTTCCTTTTTTATTTTTTTTAACACTACAACTTCCCAAATCCCCTAGCCAGCATGCGTGTGCTCGCTGGGACTTCTGGGTGTTGTAGTATGAAAAAAGCAACTTCGATAAGCTGTGTGTGCAACCATGTCTTGCTGCAGCATCTCCATGACTCATTTGGGGGGTTTCCATGTAAAATTGCTGATTAGAACAGTCCTCCTGCAGCCAATCAAAAAGAAAAGGAGTGCTCATCACCGGCAGAAGCATCTAGGCCTGGCTGTTTTGATCCTCTGTGCTTTGTGCTTTCTAAACAGTGAAATAAAAAACAAGCTATAGCTATGGTCTCTTCCTCTCTAGTGGATTTAGCAGTGACGTTCAAGGTCAACACAAAACTTCAGTTTCCCTTTGCACATTCACTGGATCAATTCCCCCCCCCCCAACGGTAGTGGGGGGCAATGATTTTGGATCGCTTATTTGTTTTGTTTTTGGTGCTCCTTTTCACAAAGGTCTCCTTGCCTCGAGTGGTGTTCCCTCCTAGAGCTCTGGATTTAGGTAAGTGGTGATCAAAATCTCTTTGTGGTGGTGTGGCTTGATGTATGGGCATTAAGATTACGATGGCCGTTCCTCCCCTTTTCCCTCCCTCCCCCCATGCTGTTCCTGTGCCAGGAGCACTATCTCACATCCATAAATGAAACAAAGGCCAGAATCCTGTGGGAGTCACCAAGCACAGAAGGCCATTCACAGAAATGGTGTGCTGTGTCTTGTGGGCTGTTCATCCTGCACTCACTTGTGTCCTGGTTACACAATGCGGTAAGAATGGCAATCCTCTGTGATGGAACTGAGGCAACTGAAGTTCAATTCCCCATTAAGCCATGAGGTTTGCTTCCATAACCTGAGAACATTCACTTCTTGACAGCCTAACCTACCCACAGGGTTGGTGAGAGGAGGAGAGGGTAAGGCAAGAGCGATGTGCCCTGCCTTGAGCTTCTTGGAAAAATGACAGAATGAACATGTTGGAGAAGAAGTAAATTCAGTGTGATGTATTGCCAATACATGTGCACTCTAATACATGATTGTGCTGTAAGATGCTTATCAAGCTGATGTGCATTAAATATGTTGCTTTAGTGTTTAATTTGTCAGGTAGTCCCATCTTCAGGGCATAAACAAGCATCTATGTTTTTCACCAACAGTGTGGTTCTTAACCTTTGTTACTCGGATGTTTTTGAACTGCAACTCCCAGAAACCCCAGCCAGCACAGTTGGTGGTGAAGGCTTCTGGGAGTTGCAGTCCAAAACTCCTGAGTAACCCAAGGTTAAGAACCAGTCCTGTAGAATGGGTCACATTGCCACTTTACAGGTGGGTAAAGAAAAGGCTGAGTAACCCAAGGTTAAGAACCAGTTTGCCACTTTACAGGTGGGTAAAGAAAAGAGAGAGGGAATTCCCAGTGCTGACTCTAGCACGTGTTGCTCTGTGTGTCTGTCCTTCACTGCAGTGGCTCTCTCAGGTCTAACGTTCCTTTTTTAGGGTGCAGAAAAATCATCATTATAGCACTACACTTCTTTGCGATGATGACTTTCATTGTACCATTTGTCAGCACCAAACCTGGAAGATTTTCCAAATGCAGCTTCAGAGTTTAAAATGAACCATTTATTCAGAGATGATTTTCTCAAAAGCAGGGTACAGCCAATAGCCACAGAACTACAGTCTTGGAAGGCTCGGTCTTCCCATTGAATATATTTGAGAGTAATTCCTTGTATTTATATCTTTCATGAAAGAAAGAAAAAAAATTATCTTTGGCCTGCTTAGTTGAGCATATAAGGAAAACTGTACAGCCAGAACACTACTCAGTATTTCAATAACCTGTAAAACTGCTCTTGGCTTCTAGGACTCAGGCTAATCAGAGTAACTAAGAAAACTGGCAGGCTCTTGCCATTTTATTTTGCATTGTTTCACATTCTAATTTTATTTTATTGAACTGTAAATATATCAATGTTAAGTGCAATGGGTTATCCTTTTTGCTTTTGGCTCCTTGTTGATGTAGGACCACTCCTGTAACCCCTAGTTCTCTAGGACTATACTGTAAATCTGCTGTTTATAGATGTTGATGTTATCAAAGCCTGTACTTCATCCCAGTTCTTCCACTCTCTGAAATGATATACTATATGGTGGGGTGTTAATGGGATTATGCTGTAGTATTCACTTGAGTGGAAGTTAAGGTGCAAGAGGAATGCATCAATGTGCCCATTTTTGAGTGAGCACGAGGTACTTTGATCTGCATGTTTTGTACTACAACATTTTGCTTTAAATTAAAAGTCCCCCCCCCTTCGAAGAATACATTACTAGTTCAAAATTTACTTACATTTCCAATGCTTTTTATTTTCTCCTTTTCCTTTTAGACTGGCCTCAAAACTGTGGCGTTGCATATTTCCAACCAAGCATATATGCAAAAGTTGTTGCAGGCACTGAAGCAAGGCCTCATTCTTGGCCCTGGCAAGTTTCTTTACAGGTATGAAGGTTTAGAGCAGAGATTGGCAAACTAGGCATGTACAAAGTTCTGTGGAAGCAGGATTCAGAGACAGATGTCTCAAAAACATCTGCAGACAATTAACTTCCTCTTCTGAGGTTCAGCTCAGCCCATTTTATTACTTCCCTACTCAGTCCAGAACACAGATTACTGATTAAATGTATATTATTTAGGCAGCTTTTGTTCCTAGGGTGGAGACCTAGAGATAATTAATTTACTGAAAAGGAATTCTCTCTCTCTCTCTCTCTCTCTCTCTCTCTCTCTCTCTCTCTCTCTCACACACACACACACACACACACACACACACACACACACACAGAGAGAGAGAGAGAGAGAGAGAGAGAACTTTTTTATTTTCATCATAGTAAAATAGTACTATTTCATTATGATGAAAATGCAAAATATATAAAGAAACTGGTCATTTAAATTAAAACACACCTTTGCAACACTCCTTCCCTGAAACAGGAATGGTATTGTTATCCCCCAAGATCTCAGCAGGATTATGTTGCAATCACTGATGCCTGAGACATAGGCTTATTATGAGTTGTGATGGTGGACACTGGGCATGAAGGTGTAATCATGTTACTTTCCATGCATTTAAGTGTATGTACAGAACACTTTTGTGTGGATTCATAATAATAATAATAAAACATAGCTTGGGAAAAGTAACTTTTCCAAACTTGGGGGGAAAAGGAGAGGTCAGAGAGGATGTGAATTCAGAGCAAAAGGTTGGTATGGAAATGCCAAGGAGGGTCGGAACATCCACAGCTGATAGCGAGGCCAGAATTTTTGCATGGCAATTGGCAATAATAACGCACCAGTGCTGCACTTTATTTTTATGTTTTGGAGCAAATGGTTGCCATTTACTGGTACAGAACCATGTTAGTGTTGGCACCCAATCCTCGGAGGCCCTTAGAACAAGAAGATGCCCTCAGAAGTCACATTTCTTCCTCCTCAGTGGTGCAGCTGCCAGCTAGGTTGCTCTCCCCTCTGGGTCCAAAATTCCAAACGAACCCTCAGGGAAAGATGAAAAAGTAAGGAGAGGCACAGCTCACTGACCAAGATGTGGGAAATACAACAAGAGCATGAGGAAAGAGGAGGATCACGAAGGCTGGATTGGTTCTTGCTGTTGGTGGTTGCCATTAGGCCCTGCCAGGCAGCTCGTCCTTAGGTGCGATATGATTTTATAAGGACAATTCAGCCTTAGCTACATCAAAGAAGGGCTTCTCTTAGACCTGGCAAAACTGATGAAATCTGAAAATGTCCTCCCCTAGCAGTGGAGAACTGTTTGTTTGTTTTTTAAGGAAAATCTTGAATAATCTCTTACTCCTAAACTGGGCCTGTTCCCATCATAGGCCTTGATTCCTTAATACTGTAGTCATAGTAACATTGGTAGTTTTGCCTTTGCATTTTACTTCTTCCTACTACACAGCTGCTATATCTTGTTGTTCTCGTTGTTATGTTTTAATCTTTCCTCAACCACATATCTTGCAGAAAGAAAAGGGGCTGCTGAGGGCCTGATAAGGGGAATAGGATACAAAATTCAAACTCCTGCTTGTTCTTGCTTATAAGCTGCTGTTAGGCATTGCATGTTTATAGTGAGCATGTGCATACCTTATTGTTGCCAGCATGGTCTACAATGAGATGAAAAGCTGCATTTTAAATGAAAACTAGAAACACGTCCCACGAGTACTGGGACAAAGATACCGTAAATAGCAGTCGTAGTTAAGGGTTTGACATTGCTTAATGTTCACATACACACGTTTCCCAAAAGACACATCAACTGAAATCCAGAGTCGTAGTTAAGGGTTTGACATTGCTTAACGTTCACATACACACATTTCCCAAAGGACACATCAACTGAAATCCAGAAGTAAGTCACAACTAGTGTAAGCTCATGGAATCAGTGGGGATTTGGTGAGTCAATACTTATGTAAGTAAAGGGTACCTAGACCAATTCCTAGTATTTATTGCCTGTCTCTAACACATTAATCAATCAGCCAGAGACAGAGAGATCCAATAAGTATTTGTTTATTTTCAGCTGAAAGAAAGCAAATAAGGCAAACCCCACTCACAAGAAAAGCATGAGAGAAGGCGTCCCACATACCAAAGTACAGTGGTGCCTCGCAAGACAAATGCCTCGCAGGACAAAAAACTTGCAAGACAAATGATTTTGGCAATGGGGGTTGATGACTCGCAAGACAAATGTTCCTATGGCCGTGCTTCGCAAAAAGAATGTTTTCCATTTTTTGTTCCTGCCTCATGTTTGCTGATTTTTAAATGTTTTTCTATGATGTTAAAAAAGTTATTTTTTTTTATTTAAATTTTTGAAATCATCTGCACAATATGTATGGCTTTAAAGAGCACTTAATAAACCATTTATAAACCAAATTTGACTTTGTTCTGACTTTTTTTTGCCCATAGGAACCCATTAATTAGATTTCAATGCATTCCTATGGGAAAACACGTTTCGCAAGACGAATTTTTCGCAAGACAACATTAACCGCGGAACGAATTAAATTCATCTTGCGAGGCACCACTGTATACATTTTTATAAGTTCAACATGAAAGGAAGGAGGCAAAGAGGTGTGGAGAAGGAGGAGGGAAAGGAAGGCTACAAGTGCCTAGGCAATGGGCCATAACTCATCCTTCCTGGGTCCCGTACCAGACACCCATCTCTTATCAGTCCAAGGACAAACTCTTCATTAGACCAGTTACTTACAAGCAACGGAATGCAGGTGGCCATCATTTTTATAAGTTCAACATGAAAGGAAGGAGGCAAAGAGGTGTGGAGAAGGAGGAGGGAAAGGAAGGCTACAAGTGCCTAGGCAATGGGCCATAACTCATCCTTCCTGGGTCCCGTACCAGACACCCATCTCTTATCAGTCCAAGGACAAACTCTTCATTAGACCAGTTACTTACAAGCAACGGAATGCAGGTGGCCATTCTCATTTATTACTTACAAGCAATGGAATGCAGGTGGCCATTCTCATTTACGTTTCTGTCTAGTAAGCAGAAACTTAATCATGCAGCATAGCAGTTACAGAAAGCAAAAATGGTTACGGTTAGGCTAAGTTATATTTTATATGTATTAACTGGACCCCTTCATCAGTTCCACTGATTCAGTGGGCCTACTCCAGTTGTGACTTATTTATTACTGGATTTCTGCCACTACAAAGTTGGGCCAACACAGCTTTTAGCCCCAACAATTCTTCTGGGGGGAAACCCCTGACAATAACCATTGAAGTGCTGGAAGTCACCAGATTTTAAAATGCTGTAATTACAATGTTTCTTAACCTTTCTAATTTCAAAACATGAAAGATAATACATACTCAAGTCCACCATCTTACATAGCCAGCCTGCAGAGCTATCCAGCAACTTGTCTCTTGTCATTATCTCATTATTAACACAAATCTCTAAATGTGGCCATATAATTATAGTTGACTTACCTCTCCAAGGGCTGGTCCTCATGTAGACAAAGCAACACTATCCATGTACAAGAGGAAGGTGTCAGCAAGTTTTGAGGAACCTTAAGATTGGTAGACATTTTAAAAAAGGCCTAAATCCAGTTATTACTTCTAACTGGAGAGAGAGATGGAGTGTGTGGGTGTGCCGTCAAATCAGAACTGACCCTAAAAGGACTTTCAAGGCAAGTGAGATATTTAAGGAGTTTTATCAGTTCCACACCCTCAGTGAATTTTCATGGCCGAACAGAAAACAGCAGGAAAGGAAACAGAATACGTATAAGGTACTGTATTTTGTCCAGAATCACTATCTGTCTACACTGCAATGTTCTATTGCAGATCTCAGCTGTATATATGTAACAGAAAAAAAATAATGCATTTTAAAAAATAAAACAACCTTGGGCCTTCTGATTACCACATTGTTATAGAGCTTACTTTTACCTTATTTCTTTTTCTTTTTCAATGACCTGTATGCATTTTTGTTTTTGTTTTTCCTTCCAAGGTACGCTCTACATCAGGTGATAAGTTTGTTCACGTCTGTGGTGGCACTCTCATTCACAAACGCTGGGTTCTCACAGCTGCCCACTGCTTCCAGAAGTAAGCTCTGCACTAGATGGGGATTGGTAGAGTCAGACAAGTGGAGAATAGTTACCTATCATGGACCACTCCAGCACAATCTTAGAACATTCTCCTTCTTAGTATATTGGAGGAGAAGGATGGAGAAGGAGCGTGGGTCCACCATTTCACCACACTTCCTTTTGCCAGGATATAGTCTCCCTTCTGGTCATAAAATCTGACTAGAGGAAAAGAAGCTGATGGAGGAGAGTTTAGGAGAGTAAGATGCAGGGGAAAGGCTACGCACCTCCTTCTTTCTTCTCTTCAAATGGCCTCCCCAACATTTGGCACAAACAAAGAGGGGGACCTGCCTGTTGCCAGTATAATTTGTCAGGTGTAAATTGGAAATAGGAAAGAGATGATTTGTATTAACCTGCCCCTGAGGAAGAGCTCCAGTTGAATTATATGGGGAAACTTTTGGGTGAATAACTGTTTCAGAGTACCTGTGGCTTTGCTAGTCTGTGGTCAGTGATTTTATGATGAAAAATTATGGTCAAGCTAGACTTTGAGAGAAATGTTTATTTCCTCTAATTAACTTGTTTTGGCTCTGACAAGGGAATTGCTTCAGAAATGTGTTTTTAGCAACCAGATTAGCAATTAGACTTGCAAAGTAAGCTCATATTTGCTTACCAATGACCAATAACAAAGCAAAGACGCTACGTATATGCAAGATACAAAAGTGAGGAAAAGTATTTACTAGCTTACCAATGACCAATAACAAAGCAAAGATACAAAAGTGAGGAAAAGTACTGTAACAAACAGATTTCTTCACTATTTGAAGATCACCTCTTCTAAATATACAATAAATGTATTTTCTAGTTTTATCCTCAGATATAGGAAAGGAAGAGAAAAAAGTATACTCGATATCGTATTGTACTACACACCTAGTCCTACGTTATTTCATTTTCAGGGGACAGGCAGAAGATGTCACAAACTGGAGAATTATTTTGGGCAAGCATAATCTGAATCATCTTGAGCCTGCACAGAGAAGCTACCAAGTGAAGCGCATCTATCAGCATGAACATTTCAATTACCCTCAGATAAATGACTTGGAGTATGACATTGCTTTGGTGAAGCCTGTGGGAGACATTATGGCCAACAGGTTTATCCATTATGCATGCCTGCCAAAGAGAGACAGCTTTCTTCATCCAGGATACTCCTGCTGGGTGACTGGCTGGGGGGGCACAAGAGGTATTTCATGGTACCTCTGCCTACACTGTTTCAGTGAAGCCATAGACAAACACATTACCATTAGTATGGCAATACCTTTCTATCCCATCGCTTGGAGAATCCTTTTGTACTTTTAATGATATAAGCTGCCTTGGGACCTTTTTAAAGGAGAAAGACAGGGTAAAAAACCTCTCATTCACTCACTCAATCACTACATTGGTATCTCTCCTCATTTTATCTTTGAAACAATCTTTTGTGTCATGTTAAAATACACACAAAAAAAGCCAAAATGCCTCCCCAACCTTTACTGGGCACAAAATGACATTTCTCAACCATCTTTAAACACTTTTTAGGGGTGCACTTGAAAGCTGTAGGTCCCCATGGGTGCTGTGGTGGTTGAAATGGCATGAAGGGGAATATCTAGTCTGTGGGTTGTGTGTAGCCTGCACTAAATATAGAGGATGGAGAATTACAAGTATTCCAGACCTCCACTGTAGGTCTGTTTCTGTTTTGTTTGCTGCACTTAAAAAAAAGGAAAAGAAAAATGAAATGTTTTCATTTAAATGTAATAACTCAGGTAGAAATGTTCTTTAAAATGTTTTTTGTTCTTGTATTTTACATATTGAAGGTGGGAAAGAAAACTTTACTCTGTCTGAGGTTCTGAACCAGGCCAACTTACCAGTCATAGATTTCAACACGTGCCATCTTAAGAAATTCTGGGGAAACAAAGTTCAGTCTTCAATGCTCTGTGCAGGATATGAAGATACTGCATATTCTCCTGCTGCCTGCCAGGTACAGATATCAGCTGTTATTCAGAGACTTTTTATGTTATCTGTTGTAGGTGCAATCAGTGGACAACTACCCTTCAGAACTATCCTTCATAAGTGTGTTCACAATAGACATTTAATGTGAAATTAGTATTGTCATACGTCATTCATGCACATTTCCCAAGGTAGCCAGTCTATAACATCACCAAGTCACTGTCATCCTTTATTTCCCCCTGGCTCTTCCATCATTTCTTGGGCCCCAGAATATTGAAGATTTTAAAATAAAACAAAAGAGTAGCTCAGTCTTCACAGGTCTACATCCCCATAGCATTATTGCAGTGGTTCCCAACCTTGGGTAACTCAGCTTTTTTTGCAGTACAATTCCCAGAAGCCAGGGTTTCTGGGAGTTGTAGTCGAAGAACATCTGGGTTACCCGAGGTTGGGTACCTTGTGTTACTGTGTCTTTTTGAAAGGGAGGATTTTGACATAAACAATATTGTCATACTAACAGGCTAAATGGAACATAGCGTTATGAACAAGCAAAAAAAAGCACTCTCAGTAGTATGGAAAAGCAGATACATTTCTACTTCAAAGTTGCAGAAGAAGAGGAATGATTATTAGAGCTATGAGTCACCCCTCCATCTGGAAGCGTCCCACATCACAGTAGGCTGGAAATGGCAGCTTAAATTTCCCACTTGTATGCTTGTACGTACTATGCAACCCTTAAGATAATTTGGTTTGACTCTGAATTAGATGGTGCAGTACAAAAAGTTATGAACATGGGGATGGAAAATCACTGACTAGCAATCCTCTACCATTAACAGTCCTCTGCCATTCTATCTTTGGCATTCATCCTTCTCTTTAAAAAAAAGAGACACCAAGAAGAAATACAGGAGGACTCTTATCCACTGGGAATTAGTTCCACGTCCCTTATAGATACTGAAACCTGTGGATAATAGTGAATGCTGGTGTGTGTGTGTGTATGTGTATGTGGAGAGTGTGCGTATGTGTGATAGAGAGAGAGAGAGAGAGAGAGAGAGAGCATGATAAAAGGGCAAAACACTGAAAAAAATATTTTCGCATGCATTACCACAAGTGGCCACTAGAGGGCGAGAGAGACCATGTAAAGTATTCTACACCAGTGGTTCTTAACCTTTGTTATTCAGGTGTTTTTGAACTGCAACTCCCAGAAACCCCAGCCAGCAGAGCTGATGATGAAGGCTTCTGGGAGTTGCAGTCCAAAAACATCTGAGTAACAAAGGTTAAGAACCAGTGTACACTAACAAGTATTCATAGTATGGTCTCTGGCTCCTTCTAGTGGCCAGTTCTGATAATATCTGTGAAAATATATTTTTCTTAATGTTTTTCTTTTAGAAATATTTTTTCTTTAATATTTTCAGACCATGAATAAGTGAATCAGTGGATAATGATCATGGATAAGGGGTCCTATTGTACAAAACACACACACACACACACACCAAAAATCAGTACCTCTGAGCAAACGTTTCCTGCTGCATAGTAAGCAACTACAAGCGGTACCTATGCACTTAAAACCTCTTCATGGGACAGACAGCTGTGTTCATTTATGGGTTTAACTGCTGCCATTTCCTTCTTCAGAAACTAATATCTTCTATCCTCCAAAAACATCAGAAGTACGTCGCCCACTTTTTTTGAATGGGTTGAATTACAAGATTAATTGTGCTACTATTGCTAAGCTCTATGCTTGTACTTTATACATTAATGTGCTTTCTAAGAATCAGCAGGATATGATCCAAATGTAAATTCTCTCACTATTGCTTGGGGGAATGTCGTTGTCAGTGGCATAGCATGGGGGGGGGCGATGGGGCAGTCATCCTGGGCAGAAAATTTTAAGGGGCCACCCTTTCGTGCCCCTCATGCTCTGTCTTGGCCCAGGGCTGACCCAGGTGCCCCCATCCATCCATCATCTCTTCTTACACTTTCTTCTTCCCTCTGTGTGTGTGTGTGTGTGTGTGTGTGTGTGTGTGTGAGAGAGAGAGAGAGAGAGAGAGAGAAACATACTATTCACTAACTCATCATACCTAGGCCGATACTGTCTTCTATATTTCAACACTTGAACATTTTCCCTTCTTTCAGGGAGATTCAGGTGGCCCACTTCTTTGCCAAGTTCGAAGAGATATATGGGAAGTCCATGGGGTTGTTAGCTTTGGACCAGTTGGATGCCAAGTACAGAACAAACCAACAGTTTTTACTAGGACATCTGCATATATTCCCTGGATTGAAGCAATCAGGATTCGGGACTTTTTTTTGTAAAGACAGAAGAGACAAGGAGAGTGCAGAAATACCAATAAAATGCTTTGTAAAAGGAGGAGCATGTGCTTATTTTAATGATAATTAAATTTGGGAAGGGAGGTTTGAGCCCAAATGTTTGGATCCAGTCCTCACAATCCCAGCGGTAAAGTACAGTACAGTGCTTGTTTGGCTATCCAAACTCATTGCAGAGAATTCTGGCCTGTTTGTTGTGTGTGGGTCAGGTAGCTACTGCATGCCAACTGATTAGAGTGAGTGGCTAAGTAACAAACCATGGATATTTGTCCATAATTTATCATTTTGTGTGAAATAAAACTATTTATGCTTTCCTAAGGGAAGACATTGGAGAAGCTTGGGGCTTAATAAGGTTGGATGTCATACTAGACAAAGTGCAAATAGAAGGTCTGTGGGTTTTTTGGCTACTTCTGATCATGAGAAATGCAATGAGACAACACACAAAAAAACACCCCATCCTTGCTTACTGTGATGTCTAGCCTGAGTCCTTATCTAAAGACAAGATAAACAAGGATGCATCCCTATAGACAGGCCCTTTGAAATAAGCTCCATGAAAAACATCTATGAAGAATACAAAGCAAATGGCATGAAAGAAAACTTTGAAGCTGTGTAACAAAAAGCTTGGCTTTGATTTTTAAAACATACTTGAGATTTGTTTTAAGGCTCCAGGGTGGTAAAAGCAGCATTCTGGAGGTTAGGTGATTAAACTCTCCTTTCCACACAATTAAAGACTATCAAGCTTTCATCCATGTCTGCTTATGTGGAGATGAATGTTTCAGTTTTAGCTTACATGTCTTGAGCATGGACAGAGATGACACTATGGTAAAACAAAAACAATGAATTGCATTGTAGTTTAAGGACAAATAGATTTATCATGGCATTCGGTCTCATACACTTGAGTCCATTTTATCAGATACATGAAGCTTTATTCTCAGCTGGCAGTTACATATACATGTAGGTGTCGCAGAAGGATGTAAGCAGTGAGATTGGAGAGAAATTAAATAAGAAAAATACAGACTTCCACAATTATGTCAGAGCTCTTTCACTGATCAAAAAGCCTACAGTTTTCACACAGGATGGAGACAGTTCTGAGTTTATAATTAATAATTATGTGCTTTCACATTGATTCGGACTTATAGTGACTCTTTCCAGGGTTCCCTAGAAATGAAATATGAATGGTTTACCATTCCATTCTTCTGGTTGTACTTTAGAACTCTTCTCCCAAGAGGCATAGTGAGGAATGAGACTCCTGATGCCTGGTTCCACAGCCAAGGACCTAACTCGCTACATTATAGCTGGATTTTGTGTTTTAAAAGAGAAGGATCAAACTTCTCTGTGTTCCTTGGTCCCATTATGTCAAAGGCCTGCTCCACTTGAAAAGGAAATCCTCATACCATTTGACATGAGTTTAATTAGAATGTTTGTAAGCCCTTCCATAAAATGTAGAAGCACCACACCCACAACATGACTTCCATATCAAGTCATCCTGAAAAGATCTGGAGATCTTAAATGCTTGCAGACATTTTGTGCCCTTTTGGCTATCTTACTAGGGATATTGCCCTAATATAGGTTATACCTTAAAGTGCATAAATTAAGCAAGGTGATCCCTCCGTGATGTTCTTTTTCATTTCAGTCAGAATGCATTGGTACTTCTGGAGTGGAAGCACTTCCCACGTCCTCCACCTGTCTTGTGTTGATGGAAAGACTAATATTTTGAGAACAACATTCGGGGGCTAGCAGTGTTAATTTGTCGCACCAAGAGCAACAAAGACTCTCTTTGTTGTTCTCGTGCGTCACTTTCAACTTACAGCCACCCTATGGATGAGCGATCTCCAAAATGTCCGCTCCTCAACAGCCCTGCTCAGCACCTGCAGACTCAAGCCTGTGGTTCCTTTAGTGAGTCAGTCCATCTCACGTTTGGTCTTCTTTTTTTCCTGCTATCTTCAACCTTCCCCAGCATTATCTTTTCCTGAGAATGCTGACTAATGAAATTTCTATCCCAATAACAAACTGACCTTCCAAGGAATTCAAGGAGACCTAGATGGCTGTATTTTCTATTTCTCTGCACAACAACCCAGGGTTGAAAGTGTAGTTACCTAAAGTTACCCAGTGAGTTACATGGCCATAGGGTAACTTTGAATCCAGGTGTGCCAAGCCCCAATACACCACTATGTCACATGTTTTCTAAAACTCAAGACTTGCAAATTTTACACATCACAGGCTTCATAAACTGCAGCCTGTTCCATCAGATGGCGAAGGACTGCACTGCACTAACATGTAAACAAAATAAAATTAAACAAAGGTATCATCCTACTCCTCGCCCAATAACAAACTGACCTTCCAAGGAATTCAAGGAGACCTAGATGGCTGTATTTTCTATTTCTCTGCACAACAACCCAGGGTTGAAAGTGTAGTTACTTAAAGTTACCCAGTGAGTTACATGGCCATAGGGCAACTTTGAATCCAGGTGTGCCAAGCCCCAATACACCACTATGTCACATGTTTTTCTAAAGCTCAAGACTTGCAAATTTTACACATCGCAGGCTTCATAAACTGCAGCCAGTTCCATCAGATGGCGAAGGACTGCACTACACTAACATGTAAACAAAATAAAATTTAACAAAGGTATCATCCTACTCCTCGTCGTTGTTGTTTAGTCGTGTCCAACTCTTCGTGACCCCATGGACAAGAACATGCCAGGCCCTCCTGTCTTCCACTGCCTCCCGGAGTTGGGTTACATTTATTTTGGTCACTTCACTGTCCAATCATCTTCACTGTCCAACCATCTCCTCCTCGG